CCCTTTTCCACGCATTTAGGCGTATAGGTCATATAGGGCTAGACCTATATTTGTATAGACCAATCGGCACAAGATGGGTGATGTGGTCAGCACTACACCGGCCGCCTTTACTTCCCGGACTGCACCCTGTACCCACTCAAGGCTGGGTCGACCTGAGAGCCAAGGTCATTTTTGAAAATGTCTGGCTCTGCCAGGGAGCGAACCCACGACCTTCCAGTCCGCGGCGATCGTCTAGCCGCTAGGCAACGGCGACTCCCAAAAGATAATAGTATCCTGAGTATATTGTTGATTTCCCCTATGATTTATTATACTTAGTAATTATAACAGTTTTAAAATGTAGGTACACTTAAAGCGTGGGTGTCTGTGGCTTAGGCGTTGCGAACGCGCTTTTTAATGCCGAGGTGCTGTGTTCGATCCCAGCTGCGGACGGTTTGTCTTGCGTTGTTTCGACATTGGTAATGACAGCCGACCGTCTAGAAAGCAATGGCAAACAACTGGACGTAAATTTGCCTAGAAAATCCGCAACAGCCAAAAAATGCTGGGTTGGTTCTGCAACAAATCTTAAAGTATACTGTAAATTGTTGATAGTGTCTGTTTTTAATTCTTTGAGTCCCAGAGGGTTTAGCATCCCAGGCCCAAGGGGTAGTAAAGAGAGACGTAAAATCGGCGCACCTTGCGTTTACTGGGCTTCTAGTTAGGAACCTATAAAAGTATAATGCGCTCCTTGGGACTTTTTTTTTTTTTTCATCGAACACCGGCTGTGAATTCCAGTGGAAGGTCAGGTTAATCGTCCGCTTGGACTTTTGGCTTTCACCTGGACCTGATTTTTGCGTGTACAACCGTTTTTAATTTCCCTGCCTCTTGGGCAGCTGTACGCCGACTTCGAAGGAAGACGTCAGGCCTATTTCTAGGGTGACTGTGGCCATTGTTTTGTGTGGGTCGAGACGTTGCCTGATTTATGTGGTGTCATCCATTTTGTCTCCTTCGCCGCAGGTATTGCCCCCGGAGTAACCCCTTTGGGCAGCCCCCTGTGGAACAGTTGGCCCTCAAGGGAAGGCAGGGGCAGATCAGGGCATTCCCCGCCATCCAAGGAGGCTTCCATGCATGCAGAGCCGGCACATATCGCTCTGGTTCTGGGCTCACCCAAGGAATCGTCACGTCCTGCACATGCCTGCTTAACCTCACAACCGTATCAGGTCTCCCGCTCGGCAGGAGCTGCGCCCCCTGGAAGTCAGCGGGGAGCAGCCGTGGGTTTTTGACTTTTGTGGCCACACAGATAGGTACATTAGCCCGACAGAATTTCACATCCTGAATCAGGCATATCGTTATCAGTTTTGTCCCAACACTCGGGCGAGTGGGGTCTTTGGGTTGTGGATATTCGGGTCTTTTTCGGTTCAGTGCAGATTTTGATGGTCAGATTTTGATCTGTTATGATCTAGTTTTGTCGGACATTTAGGTTTTAGCCATCCGATGGATGGTTGCTGTTGTGGTGTGCCCCAGCGCGGTGACGACGACACTGAGGGTTAACCAAGGATTACGTGAATGGCCAGCCTATGGATGGTTGTTGTTGTGGTGCACCTCAGCGCTGGTGACGACGACACCGAGGGCCAACCGGGATGCACAAGGATGGCCAGCCCATGGATGGTTGCTGTTGTGGTGCCCCTCAGTGCGGTGACGACGACACTGAGAATTAAGGATGTGCAGTGAACAATGTTCCCTTTACTCCGCAGTCTTTTAACCAAGGGTTGTAATTTTAGCTGTACGTTTTGTCAACCCTACTCATGTTTCCTAATGGGTTTTGATAACATTTTTCACCCAAGCGTTTGGGGGCGGGCTGATGAGAGCCACAAGGACACATCACCTCTGGGGGCCGCCAAACTCCGAGATCCCCTGACAGCTCTGTTAATGCTCATTTGAGACATTATCCGTGGCGCACGACGAGGACGTGCTGTAGGGGTCTTGCGTGAGGTTCCGTACAACCAGGATAGTGAAGGACTGGCGCCCGAGTGACGTACGGAGTATCTCCTTATACACATCATGTTGGACTTAGCTTCCCCTCACGCGTGTATGATCGGGCTGTGTACCCAACTCTCAGCCTTTTAAAATAAAGTTCTTTTGTTTGTTGGTTCTTACAAATTGTGTATGTGTTTGTTTTGTTATTATTTATTTAAGGAGAAGGTTCAGCAACAGGGGTGATAGGGGACCTTGAGTTACAGAAGAAATAAGTTCTAACAACCTTCCATCTTATAGAAACTGCTTTTGTCGGTTCTGCTTGTGGATCAGATTATTTACGTTTAAATATGGAAAACTCATACGGTAGCTACAAAACAGAGGGATTAAATTGCCGATACAAATTTCCATAATACACATTGTAGATTGAATAGGCTTATTGCTTCTGCGTTGCTTATTTTGTTCATCCATTTTACATCAGCTGTTTTTCCGTTTTATCTACCTGCTAGATATTTATGCAGTTATCTATGTATTTATGTGTATTTATTGTAAGTTGCTTGCTTGCAGATACGTGTAGATTTGCCAGTCAGTCGAAGTGAACGTTCTGTAGATGCATAACAACTATCTATGTCTTATCTGTCATCATTGTGTTTACATTTCAATTCGGACGGCTAAGAGACCGGTTAACAAAGCTGATAGGAGGGCTCAGTTGAGAAATATTGGCTTGTTTTTCTCAAAAACTTTTTTACGTGTGTGGAAACCAAAAACTTGTCTCCGTCTTATTTATTTTCTTCTTCTTCTTCTTCCTCCTTTTCTTCGTCTTCTGCTTCAACTTTTTCTTCTTCTTCTTCTTCTTCTTCTTCTTCTTCTTCTTCTTCTTCTTCTTCTTCTTCTTCTTCTTCTTCTTCTTCTTCTTCTTCTTCTTCTTCTTCTTCTTAAACTCAGGCACAAAATTCTGATTGTTAGTCCACTTCTAAATGCTAATCCTTTTCTGGAAGTTGAGTTTTGCGTGCACATCTATTTTATACATACTTCTCATTTTCATGCAGACTGTTGGTTCACTGCTGTCTCTCAGACACACTCCGACTTTAAAGAAACCTTCATTTAGTTGACCCTTACGATATGTTTGTTAGGGAGGTAGTAGGTGTATTCTTTCTCATCATTTGTTTACCCACAATGGGGTTGGCGTATTTGGCTTAAGCGTTGCGAACGAGCCTCGTAATACCGGGGTGCTAGGCTCGATCCCAGCTGCGGACCTTGCGCCTTACGTTGGTTTCGACAGTGCTATCAAAAAATCGACCGTCCAGAGAGCAATGGCAAACTACTAAAAACGTAAATTTGCCTAGAAAGAATCACAACATCCAAAAAAAATGATGGGGGGTCTACTTGTTTGTCCTGCATGTCCTGTAAAGGATACGCACCAAACTTTTTTTGTTTTTGTTAACTTGCAATGGGTGCTCGTTACCAACACATAGTCGCTAACCACACAACTAGTCCTCAGACAAAACGGCATAACCAAAAAATACCGCAGGGCAAATCCAGACTCCTTGTCAAAGCAGTAATTGTAAAGACGCTCACATTTTAGAAGCATACGCAAGGCACTAAGATGTCTCAAAACTGACCTACGTGTACATAAGATGTAGCTAGGTATCTTAAATCAGTATCTGTACTGATTTATACTAGTCATCTCCTTGTGAGACGCAATTCTTCGTTATTTGAAGCCCTACTCTGGCTCTTGCCATGGCCGCAATATAAAAAAGGTCTAATGACTGAATGCGGTTTCTCTGACCTCTCCACGGGTGATCCTCATCCACATGGTGACACTTTGTGTCATGGAGTGTTTATCGCTTGTGTGATGTCCTGATGGGGTAAAAATCTACTACTACTACTTATCTTGAATCAGCGGCGTCTGCTGCTTAGGCGTTGGGAATCAGACTCGTAATTCCAACGTACCAAGAACGAAACCCACTGCTGGCTGTATAGATTTGTATCATAGTATGGGGCGTCGTAGAGACGACCGGCGTAGTGCTGATCACAATACCCACCTAGTGCCAATTGGCCTGCCAAAATATAAGAGTTCTTCTCATATTCTCGATGCGCCAGAAGGCGCTAGTTGCTTACCACAAAACAGTAAGATAGCCAGATAGTTAACCAATCGAACATTGCTTCACTGCAAACAACTTCTGTGACAAAATCAGCACTGATATAGTCAGACACGGTTTATAAATAAATTAAATGGACTTACATGTCGGAAACTGATAGATGTAAACAATTTGTACAAGAAACAGCGAGGTATGTTGAACAGCACTGAGAAGATGAAAATTAAATTTTCTTCTTCTTCTTTTTTTCTTCTTTTCTTTTTCTTTTTTTTCCCTTTTTTTGTTTTCTCCTTTTTCCTTTTTCTTCTTCTTCCTTCTTCTTCTTCTTCTTTTCTTCTTCTTCTTTTTCTTCTTTTGTGTAAAACGTCTTCCTTTTTTCTTATTTTTTTTCTTTCTTCTTCATCTTTTCTTCTTCTTCTTCCTTTTTTCTTCTTTTCTTCTTCTTCTTCTTTTCTTTTTCTTCTCTTTTTTCTTCTTCTTTTTTTCCAATTTTTTCTTCTTCTTCTTCTGCCCCTTTTTCTTTTTCTTTTTCTTCTTTTTTCTTTTTCTTTTTTCTTCTTTTTTTTCTTTCTTGTTATCTTTTCTTCCTTCTTCTTCTTCTTCTTCTTTTTTCTTTTTTCCCTTTTTTCTTCTTTTTCTTTCTTCTTTATTTTCTTCTTCCCTTTTTCTTTTTCTTTTTTCTTCTTTTTTCCTTTATTCCTTCTTCTTTTCTTTTTCTTCTTTTTTTTTCTTTTTTTCGTCTTCTTCTTTTTCTTCTTTTCTTTTTTTTTCTTTTTTTTTCTTTTTTTCTTCATGATTTGGGTTTTTTAAAAATTATTTGGGGTATTAATGTTCGTTTCCCCCCCCCCACCCAAAAAAAGCAGATTCTCTACAAAAAAGCCCCTATCTTCAAACACGCCTAAAAAATCTCTCTTTTTTCTGCCAAATTTTCCAGCCTGAAAGTGCCTTCACACCCCCCGCAAATTGAAAGTCTTTTTATCCAATAAAACCGGGAGATCGGGCCGTTTTTCCCAAAACCATTCCTCCCACTCCCCTTCCCCCCCCCCCCCCCCCCCCCCCCCCCCCCCCCCCCCCCCCCCCCCCCCCCCCCCCCCCCGGGCCCCCCTTTTTTTCCCCTTTTTTTTTCGTGCCACCATGAAGTTTGAAATTTTTCTTCTTCCTTTTCTTTCTCTTTCAATTTTCTCTCATTTAAGGTTTTTTTGGGGGAAAATGTAATGTTTTTG